CTTCAGTCCGATAAGAGGTGCAATCACGAGTAGCGGATAACACACGAATGGTAAGTGTGAATTATGCGACTTAAATGACGAAACAATAAATCACCTATTTCGAGAATGTCCACTAGCAATCGAAATTTGGAAGAAGACGATCAGACCAGAGAAATTAGCAGAACTCCTTAGAATGAATTTCAAAGAATGGCTGCAAACCAATCTACTGAAACTCGAGCAGTTTGCAGTGGAAGCGAGAGATTGGGACCTTCTGTTTAGTTCGTTATTATGGTCAATTTGGAAACATAGGAATCAACGAATTTTTAACCCAGAGAAAATGGAGTGCATGAAGATATACGAGTATGGAAAATGACTACAGACGGACGAAATAAGAGCAAGAGAATCAACCATGACAACAGACAAAGGGAAGGTGCAACAGAAAAAATCACGATGGGAGACCCCACCATACGGTTGGATTAAAACACGGACGGGGCAAGAGACCCAGCGGATGGATACGCTTCGTGTGGCGGTGTTCTTAGAGATAACAATGGAGAATGGATACTAGGATTCTCTAAAGCCCTTGGGATATGCACCACAGTAGAAGCGGAGCTCTACGGAATATTTGCAGGTATGAATCATGCATGGAACACAAGAGGAAGAATGATTATCCTGGAAGTAGACAGTGAAGACGCACTTTTACTGATACAGAGGAACAATCAAGGAAGGATAACACCGACCATACTGCAACACATACAGGAACTCATGGAAAGGCCATGGACAGTATCAACTATGCTAGTAAACCGTCAAGTAAATAGAATACCGACTCCATGGCCAAATTGGTCGACAAAAACGAATTTGAAGGAAGGACACGGTCAATGCCTCCGATTGTTAGTCGCATGCTATTTGATAAAGATAGATTAGGATTAGACAATTGATGCACTTTACCTTAGATTAAGCTCTTCTTGTTACCACAAAAAAATACAATATCATTTGATATATATATATATATATATTCAAATTATAAGTAAAGTTGAAATCCCCAACAGTAAAAGTAAACTTCTAAACTTGTTAAATATTTCTAATATATCTTTTTTGGATATTTTGTAATCTAAAAAACAAGCATCATTAATAAATAAATAAAAAACCAGCATCAAGAGATACTGATGGCAGTGAAAATTCGACGTAACTTTCTTCTTATTTTTGATCCAAGGAGTTTTATTTTTTCAAATAAAATGAAAATCGAAAGGACACGACAAGAGAAGAGACGAAGTTGGCTTTCAAAGGCCAAGTGGCAACTTATCATTGGTTTGTATTTCAAATCTGCCGTAACTTTATCACTTCCTTGTTGATTTTTTTAAATGTAAAACCTGCCATTAACCTCGAACTCTCAACGGTTTTCGTTACTCAAATAAATCCTTTTTTAAGGAAAGAGTGAAGGGTTGTTGGCCCTTGCTTTTGTTGTTTTTGCAGCTGAAGAAAATGGAGAGTAAGGAGGAAGTTATTTCTGTTGAGCTTCCAGCACCTGCTTCCTGGAAGAAAATGGTACTCTTCTTTCTTTAAAGCTTTTACCTTTTAATTAATTAGGTTTTGCTTGCTTGTTCCTTTGGATTTTGTTTCTTCCTTTACTTTTTGAAATCTTTTTGTTTTTAAAAATTTGGGCTATTTTTGGTGTTATTTTGTGTTATTTTAGGTATTTTACTGTAATTTTGTTAGTATATGGCGGGGATTTATAATATTAGGGTTGCTTTCAAAGGTTTCACATTTCTGGTGGTGCTCCTAGTTGAATTTAGGGTTTCTGTTGTTTTGCGGAAGTTTTAATATTTTCAACAACACCTAGCTTAAGTTTTTCATTCTTAATAAAGGACCAGATGCTAATTGGAAGATCATACTATCTCACTTCAGTCACCGGACCTGTTCGTATTTAATTGTATATTGTGTGTAAAATGTTTTTCCCATACTTTAATTTAATTGAATATTTTGTGCTTGTTGCAATTGGGGTTTGGATGTTCCCGAAAACAAGTAGAGAGAGAGAGCTAGGGAGATCTTGCTCACTGCTGCAATTGGTGATGATGAATCTAGGTTGACAGCCAGTAAGATTCACAATACTCTGTCGCTATGTGTTATTTGTTCGGGATTTTATTCCTGATAATTGGAAGGACTTCATCGAGCAGTTTTATTTGAATGGCTTCTGCCTTTGCAAGTCAGATTGTGCATATTGGAGGCGATAATGACTGACTTGAAAGTTCTGAGAATTCTAGGCAATAATGGCTTATGACACATATTGATTTGCTTAAATTTCAGTGTTCTTGTTATTGTGCATGCTTATTATCTTATTTGATTTGATGGCTGTTGTGCTGCTTGTGTAACATGTCTGTTTTCTGTTGAATTTTACAGTTTTTTCCCAAGAAAGTCGGTTCACCAAGGAAGACGGAGATCATGTTTATTGCACCAACTGGGGAGAAGATTAGTAACAGGAAACAGTTGGAGCAGTATCTAAAATCACACCCTGGGAATCCTCCGATAGCGGAGTTTGATTGGGGTACTGGTGAGACCCCCAGAAGATCAACAAGGATCAGTGAAAAGGCCAAGGCTACTCCAACACCAGAGAAGGAAACCCCGAAGAAGCGTGGTCGAAAATCATCAAGTGCAAAGAAGGAACACGAGGAAACAGAGGCTGTTCCTGAAAAATCCGAGGGTGAGAAAGAAAGTGGAAAGGAAGGTGCACAAATCACTGAGAAGGAAACCAAGGAAAGTGAGAAAGGAAAAGGTGTTTCCACTGAAAATCAAGTTGAAAATGGAGGTAAAACAGGAGTGACGGACCAGACTGGTCACACTGATGTTAAGATGGATGAAGTGGAGCAAGAAGTTGATAAAGATGTTCAAATACCGGAAGCTGCAGAGGGTGACAAAAAAGAAGAGGCTGCTGGTGTCGAAGAAACCCCAACTCCAAATGCAGATCAAGAGAAATCCGCAGAAGCTAGTTACACTGATGGAACTAAAACTGAAAAAGAAAAGGGGGAAGCCCCTATTGAAAAGGTACCACAAAATCAGGAAGAGAGAGAGAACGAATTGCCCGTAAAACAATCAGAAACTGTGACATTGGAAGCAAATGGAGCAATCCCTGTAACTGAGGGAGAGCCCTAGGAGAAGCAAGCTGCAGAGGAGGTTGCTGGCAAGTGTAATGCTGAGGTAGAGGAGAAAGGCGAGGCAGTAGTTGCTGAGGTGATTGAAAATGGTAATGTTAAACCAAATGAGCAACCTGATGCTCAACAAGCACCGGCTCCTGCTCCTGTAAGCTGCTAAATGTACCATCTAATAATCGACCTAGCCTGTTTGTACTGTACATTTTATCTATTCGCCTGTGTAATCTCTACAATTCCGTGGATGACTGTATCATGGTGCTAGACTTGATTGTACGTAGGGAAAGAAATCCAACCTGTATCCCTGTAAGAAGTAGGTTTTGAACATCGCAGCTTTTGTTTATTAAAAACTTAGATTGTAGGCACCTGGAACTCTTTCCTTTTGGTTAGATGCTCAAGTTTCAAAGGTTTAACTTAAAGTGTTTAAATTATACATTTTGTTGATTTAGGTGTTTAAAGTTTTCTTTATCAAATATGAAAATTCGGTCACTCAACCATTATTTGACATGTTTGGTTTTTATTTTCTTTTAAACTTTTATTTAAAAATATACTTTTTTTCAGTCGTCTTTTCTCCTTCGTTGAAAAAGTTTGGTTACACTGTTGTCGACACCTAGTTCTCTTTACTTTCGTTTTCCTTTCATCTTATTGTTGACTGCCCAAACTAATCTCCTTTTGTGCTCCCATTACGAAATCCAGCATCGTTGCCATTTCTTTTTCCTCTTTGTACAACCGATCGTCTGAGTAGCGGTGGTGGTTGGTCGTCATTTCTTTTTCCTCTTTGTACCACCGATTGTCCGAGTAGAGGTGGTGGTTGGTTTCAGGAGTAATAAAATCATAAAATCAACGGCAATAGATGGGATTTAAGAATTAGGAACTTCAGGGTTGTTTTCTTTGAATTGAGAATTTAAGCATTTTAAGTTTATTTTGAGAAAATGAATGATTTTAATTTAAAAAAAAAGAATTAAAGGAAATTAAAAATCCACTGCATGCATTCATTGGATGAATAATTTTTTCCCCTCCAGGTGCAACCGCTTTGCTCTTGGTAGAGATCAAAGATGCTGCATTTCTAAAAACAGTGTCAGAGATGATGCTATCGCTTTCGGTTTGGCTAAAATGGGAACTCCGGGCAACGGTTGTCCTCAGCCTAGTTGTTGAATATATTTTGATAAAACTTGGGAAATTTAGAGTCAAATATATAAAGGTGGTCTCCTCCTTGGTTTGGAGGATGTACTTGTCTGCAGATTGGTTTACCAAGTGTACACTCCTTGGAACTTGAAAGGAGCAAATCACCAGTCCCATTGGCTAACAAAATGGAAATGAAACCATTGTCTAAAAGGCTTGAGGATGTTAAATTTAATCATAGTTTTAATTGAGATAAGCTGCTTCACCCATTGCCTTCTTACTTGGCTTGGCTTAAATTAAATATATTTTCATTTTTTATTCCATATTGTTTGTTTTTTTATCTTATGTTACATATTTTGATAAATTTATGTTTTAATTTATTTTTATCACATAATTTTACTTTGTGTCTAGTTCCATTATCAGGTCCATGTTACTGTTGTAGAAATAAAATCAACGTAATAATGAACAAAATTTTAAAGGATAGACGTAAAAAATGAAGTGATATAGCACCAAATGTCTACAATATTCCGTGTGTGATGTTTTTGTTCTTTAGAAGACTAATACTGTTAGGCAGGCTGCTACAACGGCTATCACCGTCCGTCCGCAAAGAGTTTCCGAGCAGCTTGGCACACCCTTCAATCCTAATATATACATATGGTTTTTGAATTTATGGAGTGATAATACAAAAAATATGTGAAGCTTAAAGTAGTCACCGTTGTCATATGAGGCGGGGCTATTGGATGATACTGGAGGCGGCGGGGGTGGCTGTTGCGGTGGATTTGCCGACAAATTCAAACCCTGACAGTCAGCTCCGAGGTAGCCTGGATTTGGAAATCCACAAATTTTACACATTTAAACTTGGATACTGAGTTTAAAACAAGGCAACTTACATGGTTTAAAACAAGCAAGGCCAGAGGAATTAAACAAATTCTCAGAGCCTTGGTGGCACTGGCAGATATGTCCACTTCCATTACTCACACATTCCCCATCACCACACCAAACAACATCACACTCTGTCCAAAACAAATCAATTCCTTTACTTGGAACTTGCTAAAAAATGCATTAAAAATAGAGGAATTGAATGCAACTTTCATGGATAAAATCGAATTTAGGTGAGACTGATATGTATGTCTTATATATTATAAAAAAATCATATTTAGAAGATAACTCTATAAATATTAAAAAAAAACTATATAACATGAATTTGCACGAGTAAAGTGTTTTGATTATACGGATAGTCTGGTTTGCTGTTGGTGGAAGAGAAGGTTGGGATGGAGGCGGAGATGGAGATCCTTTGCCACATTGAAAATCGATTGTACCTGCAATTGTTAAATTATTATTATTATTATTATGGTGTTATTTTAATTGAGAAAAATAGATGCTAATGTATTTTTCTATTTCCACTAATTTTTTCTTGGTAAAAAATTAAATGCTAATAAAGATGATGAACAAAGAAGTTCGTGGAATTAATTTCACAAGCTTATCATGCCGGTATTTTCTATGCTAATTAAGAACCAAAAGTTAGGCAGCTATTAGGCACAATGCAAGCTATAAATGGCACAATGCAAGCTATAAAGGATTTGTGACATTGAAAAATGTTGGCTTAATCACATAAGTAAAAGAATGATGGATTGAGATTCAGAAATTTGAACTTGTAAAACCAAGTTCAAATCCCATCACTATCACTCTTGGTGGGCAATTTATAAATTTTCATATAAATCCCAATTGGGTCTTTCGTATATCCTACCCCTGGACTAGAGAGCCACCCTTACCTAATTTTTTTATAATAAAAAAAGCGCTATTGAATAAAAATTAAATAATTATCCAAACCCTATCTTTTTAATTATTAGGCTTATATAATAAATAAATTTCTAAAATATATATCTTTTTATTTAAATATTTCAAATATTTTTTTTATCAAAATAATTAAATAATTATAGGAACTTAAACCCTGATTTTACCTATCTTATCTTGTTGGTAAAAAGAAAATGTAATCATTGAACTAGAACCCATTTCCCCATTGAACCCCGTGTTACCCCAAACCAAGCCACCCCATCACTCCGTCCGGCCGCCGTTCAACACGTCGTAACTATCATTCGACTCACTAGCAGTCATCAACCAAAACCCCTCAAATCCCTCACTGTGAAATGGCACCTAAAGCCATATTTTTTGACATAAAATTTCGTCGGTTTCAACCCCGCCTCCATAAATTTTTGAGTAGAAAATAAGAAAGCAATATATATATATATATATATATATCAAAGATACAAAAGCTTGACATCTAATTCTTCAAATTTGTCCATGGCGTTAGCAATCTTGAGGGCTTTTGTGTCCGGTCTCTTCTTTTACCGGTTCATGCTACTTTTCCTTGATTATTTCTGAGCTCTCTTCGATGCCCGACGACTCATCATTACAAACAGCAAACTGTGGGTATTTGAACACTTCATTATTTTCTAGTTCACTTAATTTCTGTTGGGACTCTCCTTTGAGCAGCTCAACAACTTCAAGCATGGTAGGTCTTTTCTCAGGCCGATTATCAGCACAAACAAGTGCAACAAGGACAAGCCTTTTCAGCTCCTCTTCCACATACTTACCATTCAGCTTTGGATCCGCCACTTCACTCAACTTCCCCTCAGAAACTAGTGGGAGAGCCCATTCTGCAATCGGGCGTTTCAAAAAAGCACTCACCTTCTCTAGCGGTCTCTTACCACTGACAAGCTCAAGCAAAAGAACTCCAAAACTGTATACATCACAACTCTCTGAAGCTTTTCCTAACATAGCGTATTCAGGGGCAAGGTAGCCGACAGTACCCTTAACTCGAGTAGTCACATGTGTTGCACCGTCTGGGATGAACTTCGCAAATCCAAAATCCGCAACCTGAGGCTGGAAATCTGAATCTAACAACACATTACTAGCTTTGATGTCTCGATGAATTACGTGTGGGGTTGAGTGATGGTGAAGATAGCTGAAGTGATCAGGTGAAAGACATTGAGCTTAGCATTTTAGTTGGAACAAATTACAATAGAAAAGAAATTTGGGACCAACACTTACGCAATTCCATCAGCAGAGCCAATTGCAATATTCATCCTTCTGGTCCAATCAAGAAGACATTCTGCCGAATGGTGTCCATGAAGATGTGAAAGCAAACTCCTGTTAGGCATGTAGTTGTATACAATCAGACGTTCTTGCCCTTCGGCACAATACCCTCGCAAGCTCAGTAGATTCTTGTGTCTAACCCTTGCCAATGTCTCAACCTCAACTGCAAACTGCACTTCTGCTTTATTGCACCACACCTTCAACCTCTTAACTGCTATCTGCAAGTGTATAACTTTCAAAACGAGAACAAGGTTGAAAGAAAAATAAAGCAATAGAAAAATGTCCAGAAGGTTCTTTTGATTGCAACTGAAGTAAACATGGAACTCCAGAAGCATCATCTGAGTGGCTAATTACAAATGCCTACATGCATTGTTTAGAGAAAGAAAGGTGCTATTAAGCAACGTGATTTCACATCATTTTGATTCGGATTTGTTGAGACTTTTTTAAGTCAGCCCTTTTCACCTATTGCTGAACAGTTTTATGTTGGAAGTTTTAACACATCTGACCTTAGACCAATCCCATGATAAGAAACTTCAGCGTCATTAAATCAACAAAGTGGAACCTTTACCCCCTTGTTACATGTGATTCATGTAGAAACCGGCCAGGAACACTAACAGTAGCTCGGTCCAGGAATATGCTTGGAAAGTGGAACAATTTTCTCAAATAGTACACTAGATTCAAATTAAAGTAACCTAAGGTTTTCGCAAATCAACAACAGGACCTATTAACTCATATTCCACAAGAAGATCAATCATGCCAAGGAAAGTGAATCATAATTGGATTCAAGTATGTATTAACCAACAAATGCAAAACAATTCATACCTGCGATCCATCCCGTAGCTGACCCCAATAGACACTGCCAAACCCCCCTTCTCCAAGCTTGTTATCATAATTAAAGTTATTGGTAGCTGAATGCAATTCTTCCAACGAAAAAATCCTCCATGTCGGCTGCTGCTTTTCCTTCTTCCTGTTGAATCGTACAACTTTAGACGTTAGAATCCAATTGACGCCTTGCTTACAAGGTGAAAATCAGCACAATCCTTGTAAATCTGACTCCAGAATATGAAGTTCCTTTACTCAAATCAAGTTCCAAAAGGAAAGAAAGTTCACAACTTATAGTTACCTCTTTCTTCCTTTCTTGGAAACCTAGCATGACAGTAGAGGAGGTAAGCAAAAGGAAATAAAAGTTCAATCAGCACCCCGACTATAGTTTCAAAAACTAAATAAAATCCAAACTTCTTAAATCTTTACCATTCCTCAAAAGTCCAAAACCAGAATCCACTAAAAGAAAGTCCCTATAAAACTTTTCCTAACGAAAGAAGCTTTGTAAACCAAAGAAAACAGTGGTAACTCATAGCAAACCAACGATGAACTCACCGATCGACGCCCTTCCTGCAACAAATCATAGAGAAAAACGCCATTACAAATCCAAAGTAAAAGCCCAACACCTTTTCTTTTCTGTCTCAATGGAAACCAATTCCTTGCGGTTTGAAGGACATTGTTTTATTATTTATCTGTAGTCTGTACTTGAACTGCTCAATTTCAGCTTCAGCTTCTAAGCAACAGATTCTTAAAGGATACCAAACGTAACGCCTTTGGGCAATAAATTGTTCCAACAAAAATACTTTCTTTCTGGGTTCTTTAATTATTAGTATATGTCTTTCTTTTGGTTTGGGTGGGTGGGGGTTGGGGGATGATGTTTTTTTTTTTTTTTTTTGGGGTGAGATAGGTGTGTAAACGAACCGAGTTGAGTTCGAGTATTGCTGAGTTCGATTCGAAAATTCGCAAGCTTAAAATTTTTAAGCTCGACTCGAACTCGAAATCCTGAACTAAAGCTCGTGAGCGGTTCGTAAAGGCTCGAATGAAAAAAAAAATCTTAAACTTAACATAATTGAATTTTCAAACACAAACTTAAACCTTAAATACATGAAAGTCTTATTGTATTTTTTAAAAAAAATCAACACATAAATGTTAATATTGTTAATAATATATTTTTTAAAAGATAAAATCTTAATATATTATATTTTCTAGCTGTTCCCGAGATTTTTTAGTCGAGTATCAAGTAGTTCATTTCGGCTTATATAATAAATAAATTTCTAAAGTATATATCTTTTTTATTTAAATATTTAAAATATTTTTTTATCAAAATAATTAAATAATTATAGGAACTTGAACTCTAATTTTACCTATTTTATCTTGTTGGTAAAAAGAAAAATAAAAAGCCCCCTATGTAATCATTGAACTAGAACTCATTTCCCCATTGAACCTCATATTACCCCAAACCAAGCCACCCCGTCACTCTATCCAGTCGCCGTTCAGCACGTCGTAATTGCCGTTCGACTCACCAGCAGTCGGCAACCAAAACCCCTCAAATCCCTCATTGTGAAATGGCACCTAAAGCCGTATTTTTTGACATAAAGTTTCGTCGATTTCAACCCCCGCCACCATAAATTTTTGAGATTCCAGTCGATCCAACGACCGTCTTGTCTCACCGCCCCCAACATTGTGTTCCTCGGTCGATTCTGAGCATTATATCGGGCATTGATTGTTTGATGATTTCAAACTAGATTTTACAACCAATTTCATCAAAAACTCACAAATTTTCAAAGAATTTTTTAATTTTCGAAATTAAAAAAAAATTGAAAATCTGAATTTAATTTATAAATTTGATGTTTTTGATTTAATTGTGTTGTTTTTATAAAAAAAACTATACATATTATAATTTTCATACATTGTTTTCTAAATAGTTTTTCAAAATTATGCCCATTAGGATTCGATTTAGAGAACCTTGAATTATTGAGGACTCAATTGAGTTTTGGGATTGATTAAATTGCATACAAGTGTTTCAATTTGCATGTTATATTTTTTTTTCGATTCCTAAATCATGTCTAATCCCAAACGCCCTAGAACTTCATCGAGTCGTTCTCGTTCAAACCAACCTCCTAATCCCGTTCCTCCTCCACCTACATCTCTTATAGGATCCTGTTTTAATATGCCTGAACGTCGTAGAGACGACTTGTACTCTAGGTACATAATTTCTTTCCAATCCTATAGAATCCGGGAAGAGCGTATTCCTTCTATTCAAGCCATGATTGATATTGACTTCGAATACCTTCCGATTCTTAAAACATGGAAGTTTGATAAAATGTTTCACCTCAAACCTATCGTCTATCATCAGTTAGTCTGCATTTTCTACTCCAATACGATATGCATTCAAAACCAAACTCAATGTGAGACTATGGCAATTAGATCATATCTTTTAGGCCAATATATTAATATTGACCCCGAGACAATAACTTTCTGTTTTGGGTTAGATGACGAAGGTTTATTTAATGAGAATGAAACTGTGGATTATCCCTATGTTCCAAACGCTAGTTTTAGTACTCTACGTTCTTATCACGATCGTTTTCTTCATTTGATGATCTCTTGGTGGTTTAGACCATCCAGAGGGAGGTACTCCACTCTTCATGCTAGGGATTTATGGTGGATGCACTGTCTCAAGAATAAAAACAAAATAATCTGCCCCACATTATTTTTAGTCAACTAGTGGATATCATAAACATTGTTCCTTCAAAATATGTCGAAACATTAGTTTATGGATGTCTTCTTAGTAACTTTTTATCAAACTTGGTCTAAATGTCTCTCTTGACAATCATATTCCTCTCCAAAACCCAATAAATCTCACCTCGTTTAAGAAAGCGGATTGGAAACAAGATGAGGAAACCGGTCTTTGGGTCTTTCGACGTGGTAAGCAAACTCCGGGAGCGAGTTCTTCACGAGCTGCTCCTAGCTCCTCTTGTGCTCCTCCTCTTCCTCCGGCTCCGGCTGCTGACGATGATCCAGGATTTCCGTAGCTCATGCAAGATATCGACGATCATGTACCAGACGATGAGCTTGTACCGGAACCATCACGGCAAGAAGATCAAATACCACCATATTTTCGATCTTTCTTAGAGTCGTTTGATCTGAGGTTTGCCTCCATGGAGTCTCAGATTATTGAGTTTCAGCGGGAGATGCGTGAACGAATGGACGCTCTCACTCTTGAAGTTCGAGCTCATTATCCTCATCCCCCGATCCTCCGATGGAGTAGATTTGTTTCCTTGTTATGCTTTCTTGGTTTTCTAAAACTTGGATTGATTTTGATGTTTCTGGATTGTTTATTTTGGATCCTTAAATGTTTGAATTTGTTAGGAGTTATGATTTGGATGCTTGGCTGATTGAACTTATTATATGTATTTGGTTTGATTTTAACTTTATTATTTTGAGCTTAATGTTTCTTAATTTTTGCATCATATTAGTTCATTATGACAAATTATGCCATTTCACATTTGATTATGAATATTGATTATGAAACTAATGGTTAATCTCTCTTTTGATCTTTGATCTTAGCAGTTTAAGCTATATATATATATATATATATCAATTGGCTATGTTTTTCAAAACCTTGTTTAAATCGATTTTTAAGTCTTTTTGATTTAACAAAAGGGGGGGGGAATGTTAAAGTGTTAAAATGTTTTAAAGGGAGAAGTGTTAAAGTAAGTGGGAGTAATTTCAAACTTAATTTTTCAAAATTTATTTTCAAAGAAAATCTTAAAATTACACACATGTTTTGTTATATCAAAAAGGGGGAGATTGTTGAAAACATTTTGATGTTTCGATATAACAAATTAAGTATAAATGAATTTTAAGATTTTACAAATGATTTTCTAAGTATATTCGATTTAATTACTCGAATATCAAATTATTACTCCAAGTCTTCAAGATCAATTTCAAACCTTACTAAATGTGTAAAATTGTGTTTTATACTTAATATATTTTTGAAACAATTTTCACAAAGTATTTTAAACCAAAATCAAGCCTAAAATCAATTTTTCAAAGTGATGCACCAATGCATCAATCCATGCATTGATGCACCATGGAATAAATTGAACATCGAATGCATGTCATGCATCGATGCATGGCTGGTGCATCGATGCACTCAGAGTTTTATGAAAACAACGAATGCATTTGATGCATCGATGCACCAGCCATGCATCGATGCACTCTGGCTATTTTGAAACATCGAATGCATTTCATGCATCGATGCACTCTTAGTGCACCGATGCACTAAGGGTCCAACGGTTAAAATATTTGAATTTTACACTTGATGCACCGATGCACCTTGGGTATGCATCGATGCACTGACGCTCCCAACTGATTTAATTAATTGTTTTTACACTTAAACGACTCTATTGACTCCACTAATCATCCCCAACGTTCAGAATCATTTGAAGGTGTATTTAAACAAGCTTAGAAGCCATTGATCAACAACAAGAAAACACAAGAAATAAGAATCAAGAGAGAATCAAAGAGAAAACATCAAACCTCAAGTTTGAGCATTTCAAGCCTATTTTTCATTCAATATTCATTTTGCTTTCAAGAACACTACTTGTACTCAATTGTATTCATTTTTTAGTGTTCTTTTCTTTGTTCTAGAATTGTGCAAACAATCTACCTTGTGAGGATTTTCTTGTAAGTTTGCAAATTTGTAATCTTCTCTTTGAGAAAGAGTGTTCCCAAGAATTGATATATTCTTGAGGGAGTTGTAAGGTTATCTCTTTGGCCTCAAAAGAAAGAACAAATTAGTGAATTTGTTGGAAAATCCTTAGTGTGGATAGCTAAGGTAGTGGACGTAGACTTTGGTTGAGAAAGTTGAACCACTTTAAACCGCTGTGCAAATCTTTTCAATTTTCTGTAAAAGCTTCCACCAAAATTTTAATTGCCATTTCACCCCCTCTTGGCCAATTCCATCGATCGATTAACTCAACAATTGGTATCAGAGCCTCACTCATTTGAAGGTTTAATCGCCTCTGTGTCAATTCGGGAAGAGTTACATATATTATTAAGTCATCAATGACCTCTAATTCAAATGTCGACTCGGTCTCGGTTCGATGTCCGTCAACAAGCCTCATTGTTCAATGGAGCTAACTATGTCTATTGGAAGAAAAAGATGCTATATTTCATTCAAGCAAGTGATATGGGAGCATGGAATGTTATAGAAGACGGATATATCAAGCCTCTCACTCATCCAAGATTGTGGAGTGAAGGAGAGACAAGAATGTTCCAGCTCAACTCCAAAGCCATCCATATCATATTTTGTGCTCTTGGACCAGATGAATATGGAAGAGTTTCATCTTTTACAACCGCCAAAGAAATATGGGATAAACTACAAGTCACTCATGAAGGCATCGATGAGGTAAAAGAATCTAAAATTAGTCTTCTAACACATAGCTATGAAAATTTCAGGATGAAACCAAATGAAGATATCAAAGCTATGATGGATACATTCTCAACGATTGTCAATGGTCTTAAATCATATGGAGAGATCATCCCAAACGAAAAGCTTGTGAGGAAGTTAGTTTACTCACTTCCAAAATCGTGCTAATCCAAGAAGACGGCAATCATCGAGGATAAGAACCTAAAGTCCTTAACTCTTGAAGAGTAATCGGTTCCCTCCTCACTCATGAAATTATGCTTGAAGATGAGGTGGACCTCGATAAGATTGACGAGACACCAAAGGAGAAGAAGAAAAATATTGGAGTTGCTATCAAATTCACAAAAGATGAGAGTAATTCGGATGAAGATGACGATGACGAGGAAATGAAA